TTTTTTTTTTATTCTTGCTACTTTTTTTTTTTTTTTTTTTTTTTTTTTTTTTTTTTTTAATAGCTGACCAGGGTTAGAGACTAATGGGAACAGAAGTGACTGAGCAGAAACAGAGCTCCCAGCCTTCACAATTCAGCTGCACATTGCTGCTCTCTCTCTCCTTTCCCACTGAGAATCTCAAGGAAGCAAAGAATAGTAGTAGTTCTAATACCCCTCTCTGCTTTCATATAGGATTGTATTGCTGCAGAAACAGGAGACTTTATTTGATTTTTCAAATAACTTTTTAAAAGAACATTGCTTAGATTTTAAAAGTGGGTTACACAGTTCACACCAGGTGGATAGTTTTACCTACCTCTGGCTCATACTATTCAGTACTAAATCAGTTTTGTCACATTCTATGTAAAGTGGAGATTTAAAATTCATGATTTTCATAGGCTGAGTACAGTCTTTCCGTGGAGTCTTGTCAAGTCCCCCTTTAAAGGTCCACCTTCCAGGACCATTATTCCCAGTCCATGTCCCAACTAATTACACATCTTTCCCTACTGTGAAATTGCTCTACAGCCTTCTATAACACTAGTGATTGTAGCTACACATAGTAAGGGGATGATTCATGGAGAATACAATGGCAGAATTACCCTATCAATACTGTTTGCTTGGTATTTGCACATCACATGGTCCCCCACTTTTCTAACTGTTGACTAGTGGTCAGCTGTTGACACACCTGGTTATTCTTCACTGAATGTTTGTAGGCTGTTGTTTTGGCTGTTTGTAGGCTGTTTGAACCTCTTGCTTTCAATCCACTTGGGCTGGGCTTCGTTCTTTTTATTTGATCTCCCGCTTTACCTCTTGCTGGCATCTTAACTAAATTTTATTTTTTACTGTGTATGAGGGGCTGGCCCTCTTATAGTTCACCATCTAGCAACAGAGACATAAACAAATTATGAGACTATGTGATAAGTGCTATAAAGAAGACATGTGAGATAAGCGTTAAAGGAACTCTTGTGTCAAGGTGGTTCCAACTTCTAACATAATAGCTGCTGTCTTCTTCCCATGTCTGTGGTCTCAGTAAACATAGCTTCTATTTTATTACCTTATTCAGTCAAGAAAAGCTGTCAGCCTAGATGTTAGGCAGTGAGCTGCTGATCAGCTACAGGGCAAGGTCAATTCATTTGACCTCTTAGTCTCTTCAACTGTGTAATGAAGGGGTTGAGCTCTAAAATTCCCCTGGCTTGAAAAAAATCAATGATTTGCCCATCTGGGTCACTGATATTCCCCAGATATGAATGACATGGCTATTCCAAGTCAACATAGCTTCCCACAGCTGACACTGGTCCACTGAAAGTCACTTCCTATGTATAGTACTCCAGCTAACTAGGTTAGCTAACCTAAGCAGTTGTAGGCCCAAAGTGATCCCTGCTTATTGATGTCAACACTGGA